CAGCCGAGATAGAAAGGTGCCTGTAGAAGGACACTAACAGATGATTTTTACAATACAAAAGTAAACAGTAAAAAAGAGAAAAAGAGAAGAAAGTAAAACTGTGGAGCAGTCAAATAAATGATGTTCAAACATTGAAGCCAAAACGCTGTGTGCTATACTAAATCAGATAAGTAAAGATACAACTACTTATCGTAAAGATTCATACAAGTCAATGAGATGAAAAGATTCCATTCATTCACTTCAATTAATTTTCCCTATCCAATAGTCACCTGAACCTGCAACCTTTGGTTCAAATAATACTGAATCAATAAGACAGATGTCTGTGGGCAGTTGGCAAGTGCCCTGGTGAGGTTTGCTCCTTCTTTCCTATAAGGCATCTCCCGTCCTTATCTCTTCTCCTTTTCTATGTATGTTACTCTCTAGTAACGAGTGCTGTGCGATTTTGAGGAAGAAAAACTTCGTCGAAGCTTCGAATCACGAGGTCACTATTCATGCTATTCGAATACCACGTGCAAATAGTTTTTCTTATTTTTTCTTATATATAATGTGTATAAGTCTGTCAGAAGTTCATCATCATCCGGTGCCTTGTCGACTGGCGTGGGCGATCATGGGCCTCCACTTCACTCTGTCTTGCGTTGCAGCAATGGTATCTGTTGTTCTTGCTGCTCCTAGCCATGTTGTCATCTTGTCCAGTATCTTTTCCCTCTGTCTGCCTCTGCCTCTCTTTCCATCAAATTTGCCTGTTGTTACAATATTCTCCAATGCTTCTTTCCGTATTGTGTGTCCGAAGAAATTTGCCTGTCGCTTTCTTATATTCATCATAAGCTGTCTTCTGAAATTTGATTCAACCAAGACTTCTTCATTTGTTTTGCTAGCTGTCTATGGGATACGTAGCATGCGTCTTATGAACCACAACTCTGTCGCCACAATTATTCTTTCCAGCTGTTTATTGATTGTCCATGCTTCGCACCTATATAATAGGATTGGCGCGATGTAACTTTTCAGCACTCTCTTTCTCGTTTCTAGTGACAGATTGATGTATGTGAGTATCTGTTTCATTTTATGGAAGGTTGCTTTTGCTTGGCAAAAGCGGCTTTTAATTTCGGTGTGACATCTCCCATCTGATGATATAATGGTCCCTAAATATTTAAAATGTTGTACTTGCTTGAAGGATGGTATCATTTTGATGACAATCTGGTGTCACCTGCTGTGCATGACTGACCCTACCGGACGAGGCAGCTCTTACAGAACTCCCCTTTATGTCGTTATCTTTATTCATTAAGTGTTGATCCATGATGTTCTAGGGAAAGAATACAGCAGTGGTTTCCCCTTGCTTTCTGCTGGATTTTGGTACGGTTTACTCCGCTAGCCTTTGTCCAAAAGGACTAACCCACAAGGCAGTGTCAGCAGTTATCAATATCAAATTTTCACTATTCACAGACCTTCTCATTATCTTTCATTTCATTGGTCCGTGCCATACCCCCACTGCACCTACCAACCCAATGTGCAAGCCTAATGGACCCTCCATGTGTGGTGTTTGGCTGACGTTAATAAAAAATGTTTTTTTATCAATACACGATTGTCAATCCCCTGGCCCAAACCACGCACGACACACTGCAATTGTGCAAGGGGAGCTAAGTATGATTATACCAGCCTACAAAAAATATCATTCACTGCGCTTCGAAGCTGTAGTGGGTACCCATATATCCTTATTTTTCGAAAGTCTTATTGTGCAAGGGGAGCTAAGATAGCTAAGCATCCCAGCATACCAAAAAAATATATATATTCTCTGCGCTTCAAGTGGTGATGGGTACCCATATAGCCTTATGCTTCGAATGTCACATTGTGCAAGGGGAGATAAGTATGCCAGCGTACAAAAAAACATTCACTGCGCTTTGAAGTGGTGGTGGGTACCCATAGAGCTTTATGCTTCAAATGTCAAATTGTGCAAGGGGAACTCAGTTCTCTTAGAGGCATGTTTTATAACTCATGCTGGCTCCTCTAATCACTATGCTTTAATTTTACTACGGGTTGAGAAAAATTACAAGAAATCTATTATATTATGAAAAAAAAATCACACAGCATTCAAATGGCTTTGCCATGCTTCAAACAGCTGTAAATAGCACAAAAATCGTGAATGTTGTAAAGTGAAATCAAATGGGCACAGCTCTACTAGTAACACCTCTAATCTTCGGCACTTATATAACTATTTGTGTTGCAAGTGCCATTAAACTCCTACCAAAATTTAAAAACATTCCATATCCAGCAGTCACCTGAGCCTGTAACGTTCAGCTTAAATAACACTGAATCAATACAGAAGGATATCTGAAAGGATGCTTTAAAGGAATAAAGACAAAAACAACAATAAACTACATACAGGCACAATTTCTGCTGAGTGAAAGTACAGGGGCAGAGGCAAAGTCACCGAGAACTTTGTCCAGTTGGCAGTTGTCATGGAAAACTTCCAGATGTCATCAAATGACGTGGCTCCGTATGTGTGGGATGTTCCACTCACACCGCCCACCATGAACACATCTGAAATTTAAAATAAAACCAATTATAGAACAAATCAACACAATAAATGATAAATCACTCGATTCTTGTACTAAACATATGATTCGATTAATGATTGTTGCTACAAAAGCAGGTAGGGACAGAAGAATACATCACATTTTGCAGGCAGAGCATCGATATATATAAAAGGGCTTTATCCTTTCATTTCATAATTAGATGGTGACTAGCAATAGAACAAATACAGTCATGCAATACTCTTCAGCATATACATCTCAACATACAGATGGGTGAATAAAGAGAACAGAGCTAAGAATGTGGTACACGTTTTCAGTCACATCAAAATTAGATAAAAGATATGAAACTGAACCCATATCCCATGCTACACACCATATAGAGTAAAGGTACTATTTGCGGCCATTTCTCACTTAATTTGCTCTAACAGCCAAACGAATAGAGATAACAAAAAAATTTTTGGCCTGCAAACTTGCACATCCTCTGGCCAATAGAAGTACAATTATCTAGAGCATTCTCGGCTATATTGCCAAGAAGGATGATTATTCTAAAGCACTGTGTGAAGGAACCAGTTTGCGATCAGGGCACCTTTATGCGGTCATCGAAGACACGTTATGCGGCCGAGGAATAGTGGTGCCATCACATGGGGATATGTATGCGGCCAGGACCTCCCAACATAATTTTGTAGTGTACTGTGGGGCAGGGTTGTTTTTTAAGAAGAAGTGCCGGCAGGTTGGCCTCGTGGTTGACGGACTTTGGCCAAAAGGTGCGAATCCCGACAGTATGATACTCTTGAGCTTCGGCTTTTTATTGACCCCCCCCCCCTCGGCACCCTCTTGTGAGATCAAGAGATCAGCCTTCGAAACGACCATCTGTGTACAGTAGGGTGATACAAAATAAACAACAGGAGTCACTGTAGCGTAGTGGTAAGACACACGCTTCATATTATTGTGCTGAAGATCACGGGTTCAAGTCTCGTTGGGCCCATATTTTTCCCTGAGTTTTATGGCCGGAGCAGCCGTCTCTTACATGACCTTCCTGGGTCGAAAGAGACGAAACTACCAACTCAGTACTCGGTAAAGTAGTCATGGGAGAAAGAGGTGAGATTAGTGAGAGCGAAATAAAAAGCTTAATGATGATCGGCTCTTGTTACATTGATGACAATGAACAACTTTGACAGACTTAAAAAAACAATGAATATCGACGGTCATGATTCATATCATAGGCCTAAATAATAAACGTGAAAGACAAAAATTAATGCTCAAGGTACAGAAGTATAGCCCAAGTATACCTTTTCAGTGTGAGAGGTGTAAAAGAACTGAGGGAGGGCAAGATGCAGTGAAACTGAAAACCTGCGAATCTTGAATAGAAAGCTAAAATATAGAGATCTAATTTACTGTCACCAATCCAATAAAACGCAAACACTTAGGCCCCCAAGTTCCACAACACGCTTACAAGTTATGACGGTTCCCGTTTTCACACAAGGCCTGCACCAACGCACACTTTACTTTGCAGAGAGCTGTAGTAGTAATCAAAATTCTAAACATAAAAACATATTTGCTTCCAGTTTCAAATTTTTTGTCTTCTGGTGTTGCGTCCAGCCCTCCCCCTATCCCCGAGTGCGTCTTTAAAAAAAAAATCAATAATCTCCGCCCATTCCTGAGTCATGTACTTCGAAGCGCTCAGATTACTCAGAACGCGCGCAGGTTCATTGACCAGTCACAATGACGAGCCCGGCAAAACGCTTGTTTTATAACTTTCTTTTCTTTTCTTTTTGTTGCCCCCATAAGTGACGGCACAGTCACAAATATTGATTTATTTTCATGGCGACACCACGTTTGTAATGCCGAACCTGCATGTTACCATAATTGTTGCGTTAATATCAGACAATTACTGACAAATTTCTGGGTGGTAACGAAAACGAAAGTAGATCTTGATTTTCCAGTCGAACCTTGGTGACACAATTCCGCTTGCCGCCAAAACCACCAGTTCGCGCGAAACGTACTCTCTGAGCCGAATTAATATCACAATTGCGACCAGTAGAAATGAACTTAAAGACGTTATTGAATTTGGTTTTCAAATGAGATCTTTTATGTATTTTCCCGGGGCTCGGTAATTTTTAAAAAAATTCCCGGGACCTGGCAACCACCCTGCTCCCAACAACTCTCTTTCTGATTGGCCCGCTGTCGCGAAGGAAATAGTGGTAGCGGAAATCCGCTAAATAGCGGACTATTGAGACCCATGATAAGAAAAAAATTTTAATATCCCCCCCCCCCCCCCCCCCCCCCCCCACGGGAATGGCCTAAAAACATTTCAGTCAGTAGCACTGCCTGCTATGTAGATTCTATTATGCATGCGCTAGTAGCGGCTATTGTATAGGAGTATAGGCGAGACGAGATTTGTCTTTCAGCAAAAATGGATACATTTTTTTAAGGAAAGAATGCGTTGAAAACAAATGCCGCTGAACGTCAGCTTCAGTTTACCCAAAGCACACACATGTGTTTGGCGGAAAACTGTTCTGTTAGTGCGTGTGTAATGTGGTACTTGACCACACTGTAAATCGACAACGGTGGATGGGCATTTTTGTGTTTATGCAATCTTCACCCGCGGCTTTTCCTTCTGCGTCATTTTTAATTCTAATTGCGAGCTCTACCTCTGACTTAAGAATGTTGGGACCATTATTGTTGCTTGGTTGTGGTAGGGGTGGTCTTTTATCTTCAAATAATTCTCCTACTCCTACATATTCTGCCCATCTTCCTAGGGCTTCTTTTTTCTCAAAACAACATAATTGTCTTTTTCGTGTTCAACACCTCCTGCCAATCAATGACATAGCTCAAACTGCCAGCTCACTTGATTTTGAAAATACCGGTATAGTGTCTCATTTCTGTGGGTCACACTTTTGCAAGTATTTCATGTTGTGGGCTTGTGTTTCTAAATAATAATACAGATTGTATGCTGCTAATTGCTGGGTTTTAAAAATTTTATTTACTGTGTCTGTAGTGCTACTTCTCAGCTTATGATTAATCGGTACTTAATTGGTACTTACATTTTAAAGCAGTATGGAAAAAGAAGTTTAAACATGTTCGCAATCTTTGCAGAATTTTTGCAGAATTTGGTCATTTTGAGGGTAAAATTCTATGCAGAATTTAGAAATTTTCCATGCAGAAAACTACGATGTCAGAAATTAGCTGGAAAGTGAAGAGATATCATTAGATACTTAATGTCCTCAAAATGCAGAGTAATTACTTACCGCTTTGATACTGACAGCAGCTATGGCATTTTCGAGGCTTTGGATAACCTGAAAGAGAGATATCAGTTTAGTTTTAGTAGAGGGTTTTACGGCGCTCGCAACTGCATAAGGTCATATGAGCGCCAAAGGGTGGGTGTCAACAGAGAAGTCTTTACAGGGAATCAGACTTACTCTGCTCACCTCTCCAGCTTCAACAGCACAAAGTCTGCTTCGACTATCAAGGCACCCCGGAAATAGAAGGTCACAAGAGTGTGAAAAACATACAAAAGAAGTAGAGGTTAAATGACAATAGTAAGGATTAGGAAAGAAAAAGCAGCAGTTCCCTATTGTAGATCAGGCACAGTTATGAGCGTGACATGATGAATCAGCCCATTTACAATTCTACTGTGCATGAACGAGAAATGTCCCCCCTTTGGGGATGGCCTAAAGACACTACAGTCAGTGGCACTGCCCCGGGGGGATAGAGATATCAGAACACGATTGTTGTCCAATAAAAGCTAAAAGAACCCTTAACATACATTTTCATATTTAAAAATGTTTCTTACAACTATACGCAAGCAAACCAAGATATATCAGTAGCTCCATAAGGCCAGTTTATGAACACCAACAACATAAGGTACAACAATCTAAAGCTAAATTATAATATTCTAAAAAGACCCTTTACCCTCCTCTGTCAAAAGCCAATTAAATCGGTTGTAAGTTTTGTCCTGTGGTGTCATGGCCAATTTAACTGGACTTTATTTGCGTCACAATTTCAGTTCGTTTAACCCTTATTTTATACCGCCAAACATTTCACTGTGGTGCAGTGCTTTCCTTAGGTAGGAAATAAAAGCTTACAAGAAATTTTTGCAGTTGTCAAAAGAAAAAAAATTACAAGAGCACAGTACAAGATAAACAGGGTTAGGCCAAGACAGACCATTCTTCTGGTCAAGGCAAAAGCAGAAAGAATCCAAACGATATCAAAAAGAAAAATAGAAAAAAACCCAACACCAAACAACCTGAGCCAAAAGTTACAGAAAGGAGTATGACTGACTTCCTCTCCATACAAATCCAGGTTCAAAATCAGAAAACAAGGTGGTCTACCCAAATGGGTGTTTTCTGAAACACCCCAATGAATCTACAGTTTTTTTTCCTTGTAATTTGAATGGAATGGCCTTATAACTTAAAACTCAGTTCAACATTTGTGGCACACAAGAAGGAAATTACAATATTTAATTCTCACCGTGTTGTGGATCTGGGAAAGACTTCAGGGTTGCCCAATCACATGTACTCACATTGAATGTATGGACCTGGAAGTGAACAAGATCACTGTCTGTCACAAAATGGACAAATTTAGGCAAGTGAACCCCAAAGGAGCAGCAAAAGTTTCCTGAGCATGCACACTTAATCAGTTGGTTGCTTGAATTTTTTTTTCTCAGAAGGTTTTAAAAGCCTTAATCATTGGGTAGAGGGGACTGGATGTCATTCCCTCTCCAATAAGAATGAAACAGATGAAGTCCAGTGTGCATGAAGCACAATAAATAGATAACTGAGCAGCTCACAGAGGAAGAAGAAAAGGCCTGTGGGGGCCAAGGGAGGGTGGAAATTTCAAATTTCAGCAATGCTTGTAATGGAATTTAAAAAACTTTGACATTAAAAATGATTTTTTAAATGGTAATTGGATTTTTGACCACCAAGTGCTTTTCTTTTCTTTTTTTGGCTAAATGTTTTAGGGCGCTCACAACTGCATGAGGTCATATGAGCACGCGGGACACATTAAACATTTTTCAGTTGGTAAGAAATTTTGAATTTTGCGCGGGTGGTGGTCAAAGCCTACTCTTATCGATTTTAGACCACCAAGGGATTTTTAACGAGCACAACTTGCACACAGGACCTCTGAGATTTTTCGCCCTTGTCTCAGAAGGCTAGGTGCAGATCTTTCCTATCAGAAGATCAGGAGTGTGGCTGAAAGACAGCAGTAAGAAGGAGCCAAGGAGTAACAGTAGAAAGGCTGCAGAAAGAGTCAGGAGCCCAGAGGAGGGGGCAAAGGAGGTGAGGGGGTTGGGGTAGAAAGTGGAGACAAAAGCAGATGACAGAACATTGCTAGAGAGCAGGAAAAGAGGTGAAAGGAGATAATTTTAGAGAAAATTTTTCGGTCGCTACCCGGATTCGAACCCGGGACCTATTGAATGAGAGGCGAACACCTTAACCTCTAGGCCACGAGAGCTCTCCAGTGCATTTCATTTCTATAGAAAAAAAGCCATGCATGCAGAAATTATTTACACTGTAGGTTCAAAATTAAATCATATAATAGTGAAAAACTACCCCTGTGCGTGCGGCCTGCAAGGATCTGATATATCTCCTTTTAAGATTTAACAAAAAAACTAACAGTTTCTTAACAGATGTTAAAAAAAAAAAATTGGATATAAATGTAAACTTACGTTATTTAATGAGAAGGCATCTCGATCTGTACCACCTCCAAAAACAAACAGCTTTTCACCATCAAAGGCTGTCTCGTGACGATATCTACGAGTAAAGGAAATAAAAAGGGTCACACTATTTTTTTCATTTCTGAAAAAAAAAATTACAATCACAAGAAATGCACTTTATTTCTCGACAACAAAAAATTTCAGGTTGCTCTTGTTTCCCATGTCCCTCATTTCAATCTTGAATAATGGCATGTTTTTTTTTTCAAAGACAGCATTAGATCTAGCTTGAGAAAACAGTACGCACTGCTTTAGCAGCCAATAATCTTTTGTTAGAAGAGCATAAATTTGTTACTTTGTTGTTTCTTTTGTATAGAAAAGAAAAACATCATTCCTTTAGTGGTGCCTTTTGTTTTAGAATAATACATAATCGTACCTGCCAACAGGTTGCCTTGGGTCTCCGTCTGAGCTGAGTTTTGTCCACTTCCCAACAGGGGCGCTCAGGTCCAGGTGATAAACGTCCACATTATAGATGTAACCGGACGTCCCGCCCACTATGTACACATTTGGGTATCTAAGCGTCATTGTCTGAAATTAAAGGACATACAAGAGAAAGGCAATATCACTCTAGCTGGAAAAAATCATTATTTTTAAAACACACACTAAATACATGCCAAAAAATATATTCATTAAAGCTAAGCAGTGCCAGGGTCTCCTGTATGCATCCAACACAGGACCATCTTGAAGTTGAATTTTTCGATTCACAACAGTACCCCTCCCCCCTCCCCCCGGGTTCAGTCCTGTTGGAAAAGATTTTAAATTGGAGGTCCCACCAACTCAATTATCTGACAAAGCTGAAAAAAAGAGTATTAAAATCACAACAAACCAAACATCAACAAAACAAAACAATATGAGAGCTCAAATCTACTACGAAATTTCCCTCTCTCTTACATGGCCGTATCTCTCATCGGGTATTTCCCCCTCCACAGGGATGAGCCTCCAGCGACTTCGAGCAGTGGACGGAGTGCCCACCAGCTCATTCTGCTCCCCAAACTGACCACCGTGCTCATTTCCATGGCCATGGAGGGGTGCCTGGGGATTGGCCAACAGGTCGTATCTGTACAGAGAGCTCGTCGGTGTTTCTCCAAAAGGGATCGCTGTCCCACCAAACAGAAAGAGCCACCGACCCAAGACTGCAACTGATATTAAGATAAAATGAAAAGGAAAGCATGCAAAACAAAATTAATGCAAGTAATGGTAAAAATGTATTTGTAAAGAATAGAACAAAGCTAAATAGCTGATAATAAATTGGAAGAACAAATTTAATACACACAAATGGTAAGTATCTATAGTTATGAACAAACATCAGTAAATAGTATCACAGAAGAAATTCTGTGAAAAAACAAACAGTAGAACAAGCTACTGACAAAACAAAACATATTATCACTATTACTGACAAACACTCTAAGCACGAAACATTGTTAATTACCAAACGATGGTGATGGGCAAGAATTACTGAATAACAAAATCAACAAGGAGTGATAAAAATAACTTTAAAGGCAGCTCAATCATTACCCTGACAGGATACAGGGCTGGGAGGAATATTACAAGAACAAAAAACACATGTTGACCTAGCATAAATTTAATCTTCAAATCAGTAAATCTTCATGTAGTGATGAGGCTCACAACCAATTGTAAGATAGAAAATAAGGGTCATTTTGACATCGAAAATACGAGTTAGAACAGGCAATGGAATCCATTAACCACAGTACAAGAATCAGGTTTGACGAACTATAACATACATACTTCCATACAATGGAGAAAAACAACCCACAGCACTAGGAGATTTGTACCAAAAATATTCATAAAGAAATACAGAACAAATTCAGAAAATTCTTTGCAATGTTGAACACACACAATCACATAAACATTTTGGTTAAACTACAAAAAATTTCTTAAAAACGTAATTTAAATACATTTAAGAAAAAGCATAAAAAAGTCCAGTGGATACACTTTTTTGGTGAAGAATTCAATAAACTTACAACACTGTCACAGACCAACACATGACACACATGGAAATTTCAGTTTTCTTACTTGTATGAGATGCAATAGTAGGAGGCACACTGTAAAAGTCATCTATCAACTGCCATTTGTAAGTACTGAGGTTGAACTTCCAGAGCTGTAAGCCGAGATGAAACAGAAAATGCAAGCATAAAACTAGATTATTTGAAAACTGCCTTTACAAAAATTCAACATCGGAAGCAAACATTGACATGCCACCCATTTCCATTTCAGTAAAAAAAATATCCAGTACCTGTTTTCTTTGTCAGTCATATGATCTTTCCCCTGTTATCACATATTTTGTACGGCCAGTGTACTACCACCAGTACTTGCTGAAAAATCGTGTTTTTTCTCACGTTAACAATCCAGAAAAGTAATAACCCATACCACCAGGGTTGGTGATTTTTTTGATTTTTTAAATAAAAATTTTAAAAATCGATTTTTTTGATTTAAATCAGATTTTTTAAATTTAAATCGGATTTTTTGGATTTTTTTTTAAATGTCGACACAGTTTGGGATTTTTGGAGGCTAAAAGTAAGTTCTTTTAGTGCAAAATGCATTGTCTTTATTTTAACTAATGATTAATTTAAGCAACTGCAATTTTAGAAAGCCTTAATCTGCTATATCAGTGAGTTATGGCTGCAAACAAAAAATGAAGAAAATGTCAGTCTAAAAGGACGGGGTGGGGGGGGGGTGGGGGTGTAATTATGCATAGATAAACTTGCATTTTATTACAGTGTGTGTGTGTGCGCGCGCTTGCGTTTGTCTAAAAAGAAAAAGAAAATGCTAATTTCAATTATGAAAAAAAAGTAAATTGAATACAGTATTATTTTACTACTTACAGTGACAGGGGGGAAAGCAGACTTTTAAGCATGATTATTTTAGTCTACTAAACCTATCTGTTTTATAAAACCAAGGAAAGGAATTCTGAATGTTTAAAGATGTAAAAACAGAATACATTTTTTTAAAGTGATTTAAATCACTGAGTTCTATTTTTAAAATCAAGTTGATTTAAATTTTAAAAAATCAACTGATTTAAATCAACCTGATTAAAATCAACCCAACCCTGGTTTTCAATTATGAAAAAAAGTAAATTGAGAACTGTATTATTTTACAGTGACTGGGGGGAAGAAGACTTTTAAGCATGATCATATTAGTCTACTAAACCTTATATCGTTTAATAAAACCACGAAAAGGAATTCTGAATGTTTAAATATGTAAAAACTGAATACATTTTTTTGAAAAGTGATTTAAATCATTGATTTTTATTTTAAAAATCAAGTTGACTAAAATTTAAAAAATCAACTGATTTAAATCAACCCAGCTCTGCATCCCACCTAAACATAAACTGGATAAAAATCTTTAGGCTTGACCTCATGATTCTAGCAGTGTCAGTAAAATTGTCACATAGTTAGGCTGCCGACCAGGCATAATACAAAATTTCCAATCATTAACTCTTTGTCTCCGAAGCGGGTAAACCCACTATGCCAGAGCCCTTTTTTGGTACTAAATCTAAAAATGATGAAAACGTCACTAAATTGGTTATCAAATCAAAACAAGTGAATCTATTTTGATAGTTCTTTACGTAAAGAATGAAATCCCGATAAAAGAGACTTACTTTTGGCAATTGCCAAAAAGTAAATTGATGTCAAAGTTGTTGCAACGGAATGCCTGAGCCGCTGCCAGGCCAGGGTTTCACCGGAACAGGGGTACCGACCACGAGCCCCAGGGAGCAGTTTACCGAAGACAGAGAGTTTAAAAAATAGTATAAAATATATAAATTCCTTTTATTTTATCCCAAAATACATAAATTCCCATCACACCTGTAAAAAAGTAATTTCCTACCAATCATTTTTTAAATACCCTTATCAAATCTGTAAAATAGTAAGACACACCCAAACACTTTCCTCGATTCCAGACAAACTGACAAAGGATCTCCTTTGGAGAATATCAAGGAAATCAAAATCTGAAGGGAGGGAAAAGGTGCTTGGCAGTCTAATTCCTCGGTCTACCCAACAGGCAAAGTTATAGTATGTACACTGCTATAAGTTTAAGATCATTGGTCAAGACTCAAAAGGCCATACAGTGACTCTAATCCAGGTATTAAAGCTTCAAATAATTTGAATCAATACCAGTAAAACAACTATTGTGGTTTTACCCTGCACCTACATGATATTACTGGTGCACTAAAAAGCCTTGCAAGTCAACATTATACAGTAATAATATTTTGGGAGGATGCAGAAAAGAAAGAAACATTAACATTATAAATCAATATTTTAATACTCCTCTCTCATGCATTATTGCTGAATTTTATCTTTTTTTATTTTTAACAAAATTAATCATTTTCCTGGAGTCATCATCTCATTTAATGTCATATTTAAAGATAGAAAAACCATTTCCCTGTAACATTGCTAGTTTTGCAAGGATCATTTTAAAAAGCAAAACAGAGCTTCACACTGAAGACCATGAAACCATAAAAACTTTCTTCATGGTAAACTTCTGTCTGAGAAAGTAAACATATATTTACCTCCTTAAAAAGGCAGGGATGGCCTCTTTCTCCGTGAGCCTCTTGATCTGGGTGAAAGCCCCCAATAACGGCACTAAGGGCAGGATTGAACCCTCCAAGAGAGTAGATGTAGTTGTCTGTGGCTACAATTCGATGACCGCTCCGACCCACTGGGCAGCACTGACATTCAGGCTCTATTAAAACAACAAAATGGTATACTTATCAGATGAAATGTTGTTAGGAAGCTATGCTTAAGAAATGAAATGTGTCACGATACGGTAGAATTAGGTGCTCATCAATTTTTGGGCATATGAAGTTACTGGTACCATCTTAAAGCTTTTTTACTTGCTTTCCTTTTGATGAAAAAAAATTTCACCTATCTAGAAAAGAAGTCCAGATATTTGTAATTGAAGGAGGTGTGAGTCGCTTTGTTTCAAATGTAAAATTAGTAACAAAATGGCCTCAAAAGTTTGGTGACTTCCACAGCTTGACAGTCCTTAAAAAATGCAAATTCACATTTTTCGTACCTTTAATGAACATTTTTCAATAAAATTCACATAAATGTGTTTTAAAATGAACATAAACAGTGTTGAATCAAAAAACAAAAATTTGAAAAAAAATTGCCAAACAGGTGGAAAAATGCTGATTTCTTGGATTTCATTATTTTAATGAGCACCTGATTTCACCATGATGCCTCACAAATGTTATTTGGAAGGGGGGACAGGAGAGAGGGAGGTGGTAAGCAATTATTACCATAAAAACAAACAGAGGATTTCCGACAACTATTATTACCTACAAAGACTAGAGCAACCCAAATTTACATGAGGTTTTGATTCGTAATAAATATACAAGAAAAGAACTGGTAAATTATAAGCATTAACTCATTTCATACAATACTTATAGTCTACATAAATCTGCAAAAGAAAAGAAAATTGTCTTTTGCACAAAGATCAAGACTGACCATATTCAGCAGCATCTCTTCCAGCATCCTTCGCATGTGTTGCGGGATGAATGGTTTTCACAATCATCCTTTTTAGTTGACTGTCTTTCTGTCTTAACCCACAGTCAGCGTCATCTATCATTCTGGACAGAAAATATAGTAACTGTATTTATGACAAGAATTTTTTTTACTTCATAAAGACTTTATTATGCCCATACAGAACAATCCTAAAATTAACAATGGCGGTGGGGTTCCACCATGATTCCCATGTAACACCGATGCTCTGTGTTCCTAATCCACAGTGAGAATGCTCAAATAAGATAAGACAAGATAAGATAAGATAATACTTTATTATCCCAGAGGGAAATTTTTCTTGGCTGTACAGTACATGTACTGTAAAAACATATGCAGATATACATACAAATTTTTAATGATATATTAATCTCATTAAAATTCAATATGAAAAGAGAAATAAAGCTGACAAAATGTATATTCACATCAGATGATTCATTCAACCACATGCAAAAATTTAGTTACAAGACCTTTGGAGTTATATAGATACATATTCTAAAGAGCAACACACATCTATGCTCATTCTGACAATAGCCTTAAGCGAGATGGTTAAAAACTTCTTTTACATCTTTCTTTGTTTTTGGAGGCACATTCTGCCGCTGCGTGATCTTACAATTTGCGAGGAAAGGGGTGTGATGGGTCGTTTATAATGCTTTTTATCTTTTTTTATACTTGTGGTGTTGTACATTTCATTAATTCCAGGAAAATCATATCCAGAGATCTTGCTGGCTTTCTTTATTGGTTCTGTCAAATTTTTCTTTATCTTTCACCTTACAATTCCCACCCCAGCAGCAAATACAAAATAACAGCACGCTTTCAATCATAAAATGGTATAAAAGGGACACAATCTTATTATCAACACGGACACTTCTTAATTTCCTTAAAAGGAACATTCTTTGATTTACTTTTTTATGTAAAAGAGCAGCATGGGGATGCCAGTCAAGTTTGTTATCAATTGTTACACCAAGATACTTGTAAGAGCTTACCACCTCCACCTCCTCATCTTTAATAAATAGTGGTTGCAATTGGTCTTTTTTTTAAACTCTAAAGTCTATTATTAATTCCTTTGTCTTTTTTCACATTTAGTAAAAAGGAAGTGGTTATCACACCAATTTGTAAATACATTTGCAGAGTCTCTGTATTTATTCTCATTTGTTGTTATAAGGCCTCGTAGAGAGGAATCATCCGCAAATTTTATTAGTTGGATGTTTTTTGTTATCAAAAGTACAGTCTTTGGAGAAGAGTGTAAACAAGACAGGGGAGATTACACAATCTTGTGGTGCACCAGTGTTCGTGGACATTAGGTCGGATTTTACACCATTTAATTTTATTGAGGTCGATTGGTTAAGAACTTAAGAATCCAAGCTATAATGTTCTTGTTTATGTTCATGTAGATTAATTTTGAAACCATTAAGTGGGGTTGGATGGTGTTGAAAGCGGATGAAAAATAAGTGAAAAGTATCCTGCAGTAATTTCTTGGTGTGTCTATGTGATAGTAGATGTTATCTAAGAACACGAGAATGGCATCCTCTACGCCCCTCTTGGCACAATCGGCAAACAGCATATTATCCTATATGTCTTCTGTTGATTTCCTCAGTTCTTTCAGAACCAGTTTTTCTAAACATTTTATAAGGACTGATGTTAAAGACACAGGTCTTAGGTCATTCAAATTTTGTATGGATTGTTTGTTTGAGACAGGAATTATTTCAGACCATTTCCACAAGAGTGGTATTATTCGTTCTTTCAAAGACACACTGAAATATTAGTATAAATAGGAGATAACTGAGTAGAACACATTTTAATAATTTTACTTTTTACTCCATCGGTCCACTCGCTTTGTGAGCTTTCAGAAGATTAAACATGATCTTGACCTCATTGACATTAACCACAAAAGTTTCCTTGCTCTTTTCATAGTCTTCGTCTGTGTTGGTGTTGTCGTCTGTGCGGTCATTTTGAATAAAAAGAATTCAGTTTGTCTACATACTGACTTGGGTTCGTGTCTTGTGTAGGAGTGTTTGTCCGTCTTGGTGTGTCTCCAACGATAGTTTTTAAACATTGCCACATCATTTTTGTGTTGTTAGAAGTCAAATGTTGTTCTAACTTTTCTTTGTAAACATGCTTACAATCTCTTATTTTTTTCTTAAATATATTATTTGGTGGCGTCGGTGGCCTAGTGGTTAGGCTTTCAGACTGGCAACCATAAGGTCGTGAGTTCGAATCCCGTCAGGGGCCCGACGTTGTGTCTTTGGGAAAGGCACTTTACACGAATTTTCCTCACAGTACCAGACACTTTATTATTTATCTAGTGACTATGACCTTACGGTGGGTGCTCTGTGCCAGGCTAGACTTAGCTAGACCTGTGAGCTAGCTTTGCAAAGACAATTGTGTCACAACAAAGTATGGGCCTATTCCTGTGTGTGATAAATGTAGGCAAATGTGTTCTGATTTATATGATTCTCTTTGGCCTGGAATCGACACATCATGTGCATTTTCGGTAACTGGTCATTTCGTCACACGGTCATCTCGTCACATCCTATTTATGTGTGATGAAATGAATTCCCTTTTTTTCTCTCTCCAAAATTGTTATATAAATGCTAGTAGAGCTTAGGAGGATCAGCTTAAACTTTTTTTGAAGTTATATAAATTATTAATGTAAATTGAATCTTCGTCCAAACTGTTCCACAGTTGAACAATAGTTTAAATAAGGAAAGAAACAAAGTCTGGTAAAGACTTAGTAAGGCTTTAATTTAAAAGTAAGGGTCTTTATAGCTTTTAGCAAAATTGCAGTACCGTACATTTCTATTACTATTACTAATTTTTTTTTAAAACAGCTAATATGATCTTGCCAATCACACCTTTCATCAATAGTAATACCTAAAAACTTAGTTGTGAGCTACGAAATGACAGTCTCGATTCAACCTTGTGGATTTCTGATGTGACGAGATGACTGTGACGTCTTGACTGCACCAGTGTGACGAAATGACCATGTCACGAGATGACAGGTATTCGCATTTTCCTGTCTTTCTTTTGTTTTGCTCTCTTGAAGCATGGATAACTTGACGACTTGCAGTACTTGAGTGAGGATTGATAGTGAATATTTAGACAGCATTATACCCTCAAAATTCTTTTCGGTTTAGAAATAGGAGGGGCACTTCGGCTGATTGACAGTTTTCTGAGAAGATAAAGTTAGAAAATCTTGTAGGCCTCATATAAATAAAACAGTGAAATACAACTTTGAACAATGTATCATCCTGTAAAATAAAACGACTTTCAACATTTCAATGTTTACACACTGATTAGGCTGGAGCGTGTGAAATTTCTTTTGAGCAAGAAACTGTTCGCTATCTTTAACTGCTATAAGTTGAGAAATACTACGCCACAGTCATAGTCTACAGGAGTCTGAAGAATCTAATTTTTCATGAATTCTATTCAATTTTTCTTTAAACCAACATCTTCAGAGGAAGCCTGGGCCTACTTTAGGGGCCACAGAAATCTAGATTAGCCTACAACAATCTAGGACCCATAATCTCTAACTTTATGCAGGTTAGAAGACCCTCGTAAGCCTGTAAGAAGTCAAAGTCACATACAAAGTTGCCAATAACTTGGTGGCACTCCTACAAAACCACAAGATCTATATATCTCCATCTAGATCTAGATTTTAGATCTCTTCTTCAGTTTTTGGCAAACTAAAAAATTTAGGAGGCCTGAATATCTATCCCTATGGAAGATACTGAGACACCACGGAATCCCACAGAAGTTGGTGAACCTCATCAAGAGCATGTACGAAGAGACAAGTTGCAGGGTTGTACATGATGGCCAGCTCACTGACAACTTTGACATCAAGACCGGTGTGAGACAGGGATGTTTATTATCACCGTCCCTCTTCATATTGTGGCAGTCGACAGGCTGATGAAGGAAATCCCCAGAGGACATAGAAACGGTATACAGTGGACCCCATGGACACAGGTGGACGATCTGGACTTTGCAGATGACTTGCCGCTTCTATCACACACTCAGGAACAGATGCAAGCAAAGACAACAATTTTAAACAGCCTATCAAAATCAAAGTCTGTTGGATTGAGGATCCAACCCGGAAAGTCGAAAGTCCTAAGGATAGATGCACGACGAAAGGAGCAGGTCACAGTACAAGGAAATGCACTAGAAGACGTCGAATCCTTCTGCTATCTTGGGAGTATAATTGACAGAGAGGGAGGAACAGGTGCTGAAATAAAGTCCCACATTGGAAAGGCATAGGCTGCATTTATTTCTTTGAGCAGGATTTGGAGGACCAGGGATATCTCATTACGAACAAAGCTTAGAATTTACAACTCAAATGTCAAGTCAGTCTTGTTGTATGGATGAGAGACGTGGAACGCATCCCATACGTGCATAAAGAGGATCCAGGTTTTCTTGAACAAGTGTCTGAGGAGGCTGCAGAGGATCAAATGGACAGACAGGATCACCGACAAGGAAGTATTAAGAAGAACCAGACAGAGCCCGGTCAGAGATGAGGTGGGAAGAAGACGTTGGCGTTGGATTAGACACACGTGTACACTCTCAGGAAGTCAAGCAGCTGCAAAACAAGAAAAGTGTTAGATTGGAACCCACAGGATAAATGATCAAGGGGAAGACCTCGTGGAACCTGGAGAAGAGTCACGGAAATGGATGTACAGAAAAGTGGGAAGACGTGGAGTGACATCAAGCGACTAGCCCAGGAAAGGGAAAGGTGGAGAGTGTTTGTTCGTTGCCTGGCTATATCCTGACCCAGGGTGAGAAAGGCAATGATGATGATGATGATAATGAATACCTACCCCTGTCATTTCTAAAGCAGTTTGAGTTAGACTTCTTTTAGATAATCTAAACTTTGTCTTAGAAGAGCCAATTAATTTAGACATTATAGTCTCTAAGGAATTAGTCTAAACTGACACAACTACTAAACATTGAATTGGTATCTCATCTGTCTACACATTGGTGCTGCAAGTACTAAACATCTATATGAGCAATTGCCAAAACGTGAGACTCTCTTGAGACTCAGTGGTGCAAAAAAATTTTTCTTACCAATTTGATTCTCCTTTCTGTCAGTCACAGATTGACATTTAGTGCTCATATTCCTAGAGTATCAGAGCAAGGAGACATACGGTTTTGGAGATATGGGTCTATTGGTTTGGCAACTACTGTATTTCTTGTATGTAACAGTGATGACAAAAACAGATAAGCAGCAAGGCAAATTATGGACTTTAAATTCCATTTGTTTAGTAAACAAAGACTTCGTACACTATGAACTCCATTCATAATGGTAATATGAATGACAAGCTTTGTAACAATGACGCAGTGCACAGAACATGTCATCATTGTTCATGTACAAGAAAGGATACACATTGGACATTATCATAAACAACACATCACAATAGTGAAAGGCTGTACAAATACAGTTATCAAAGCCTCAGTACCAGAAAAACACATGTGTAAAACCATTTTTAAACTAATATGAGGCAAAAGCACAAAATCAATTGAGCTGACCTGTACATAACAGAGATGACAAACATGACTTGTACTAGAGACAGGCGGGTAGCGCTTTTTCCTTTCCGAGCGAGAAGACCGAGAAACTGACCTATTTCTCGCCGAGACCGGTCCCAGGAACGAGAAATAATTCCCGTCTCGTGTCTCGGGCAATGCTTCTCGTCTCGTGACCAATTTCTCTTCTCGCCCCGCGGTTCGAGCCACTCGTTCAGCGAGAAGGCCGGCCGTGGCCGAGATTTCTCTTCTCGCCCCACAGAACGAGCAGCTCGTTAAGCGAGAAGACCGTCGTGGCGGGGATCTAAACTTAGATTAGAAACTAGGCTAGCCCTGTTGCGCTGGCGCAGGCAGTGAAGGAAGGTAGGGAGACGACCTAGGCCTAGGCCTTGATCAACTCCCCACTCGCCTTGTCTCGCCACCCTCTCCCCTCCCTTTCAGTTTCGCACACAGGACGGCACGGTGATGGGTGGCACTGTCTGCGTTGTCATTTCTCGCCTCTCACTCTCTCACTCTCGTTACCGTTACTCGTTATGTCAAGCCAACGGGCAGTATCACGTCTCGGTACCGAGCAGAAGTTTAGTGCCCGGGCAGTGACGGGAAGGCCGTTACTCGCGAGAAACGAGACTCGGCTCGTCTCGTGCCCGCCCCTAACTTGTACATATAACAATGATGACACAATGTCAATGTACAGGAAAAGACAAAAGTCTTGCCTCCCGAGAGAAAAGCGCACTTTAAGAATAAAAAAACCCAGGAGAGGTTTCTTTTGCTTTGAAACAGATACCAGGTCATATCAAAGACAGTGTACGATCACAATTATGTTGCTAATTATGACAAACAGTACTCGTACATAACAGTGATGACAAAACATACTGGAAAAAGGTAAAATCATGCCTACAAAGAATAAATTTGCACTAAGAGATACACAGATCAATAAAGGCGTATTTTGCTTCTAAATTAATCTTGCATGTATGAAATATATGTAGAAAACTTATTGATATTAGCAATGATGACAAATATTACTTGTACATAACAATGAAGACACAATGACACAATGTATTGGAAAAAGGTATATCATACCAACAAAGAACAAGTGTATTTTTTAGTTAGACAGATAAACAAGGACATGTTTGTTTATTTGTTTGAGTAAAGAGAGCACACATTACTTTAAAAATGTTTGCTCTTAGGACAACGTAATTTCTAGTATGTCAGTCAGTCTTGTACGGCTGCAAGACGACACCCCAAACGTCATCACTGAGCACAAAAGCTAAATCTATAACCACAGGAATGATCCATCTCTCGAAGTTTGTTCACACATCACACTCTTTTTCCAGGAATCCAGTGTAAACACCGCAATTTCACTAAAACAATAATTTGTGTTTTTCAGCTTGCCGGGCTCGGGGAACGGCGACTAGACAGAGACACTAGTCACTAGGCAAGCTGAAAAACACAAATTATTGCACCACTATACTATATAGAGTCTCGAATTCTCTTTAATTTAACGAAGCCTTAGTTTAAATACTTGAGTTCTGATTTATTTCAAACAAAACTGTTTACCAATTTTGGACAGCAGCTGAACTTACCATGTTCACACCATCATCAATTACAACAGTAGACACAGGACAGGAAATCACCAAGGCAAGGCATTATAACCACTAACTGCTTCTCCGCAACTCGGTATTGTAAACAACGATGCTCGATCACTTTTCTCTTTGTATCAAAAAGAGCACAGACCACTGTAGCCTTTTGAAACAAACCACATCATGATAACATGGCAGAAAAATATGAGAATAGAATTCATTCAGCTTTCGAATTTTTCTTTGATTTTTTTGTTTTGTTTGGTTTGAATATTTTTGTTGCTCAATATTTATGCACAATTTTTTTTACAAAAGTCCCTAACAGTTTTAATTGTTTTAGCAGTATTGATTCAACAAAGTTATTTTTTGGCTAAGCCATGTGAAATAAAAAACTAGAAACTAGATCTAGATTTTATATAAAGAAAGAAAACAAAGTCAAACACTACTTTTTGCGTTTTCTGCGAAGGACAATAATACTTTTTTTTTGTTGACTTCACTAAACAAGAAATACGGAAGCACCTGAACTGCCTTGAAATCAGACGATTGTCAAAGATACATGAATAACCATAAGATTCAGTGCGTTTTATCAGCTGTATTTTTGAAGAGCATTTACAATCTATAATAGAATAGATCGAAATCTGTCTGTTTAGTGATCCGAGAAGTACTCTCCACAGCAGGAAACAACGTCAACGATGAGCTCGCCAAAGTTTCACCCCATCAAAACAAATGAACAGTTGGCTGACTATATTCCGCAGTGAGTAACAAACACCAATATCATTGGAAAAGGGCATTTGATATGTCAAAATCTTGTCTTGCCAGTGGTGTTTTAAGATGAATTGATGATGAATCCATATTATCAAAATGTTTAAACTCTTCTAGGTATATCTACTTCAGCAGGCAGCAGACAGTTAAGAGTTTTTAACACAAATGCGACTAAACGTAAAACGACGCTTCTTCTTGATTGGCTGGTAATTTTAGTAATGTGATGTCATCACTTCCTGGGATACCCACAGAGGCTATTTTTAGGCGCTTTTTCGGTAGTTCCCACCCCGCAATTCTTATTCGCCGGTTTTGGCCCCAAGAGTAGGGGGGTTTCAGGGGGGGCTTGCCCCCCCCCCCCCCCCAAACCTAATAAAAATATGGTGGGGTGTTTCGGGGGGCATAATTTTACCTTAATTTGATGTTTTGGAGTTGTTAGGTTTGATTCATCATAGCTCGCCGCGCATCAAACGTATAGAATCTAGATATGTAGATCTAGGCTCAAATATAAGGGGAGTGGGAACTATTGAAAAAGCAACCTATTTTTAGGCCGTGAAGGTATCAAAGATCGTTTATACACACGATACAGTAGAGAATCTTTGGAGATACCGCATGGAATGACATGTTGGGTCAGTGGCCTGGCGTATTATCCGTATCGATGTATTTCGCATGGTAAAATTTCGCACTTGCAGCACCGTAGCACGTCAGCCGTGCTCTGGTGAAGAAAGGTCGCTTAGATCGTTGATGCTCAGAACTGTAAGAACGCTGATGCTTGAAATTGAAACGCGGTAGACGCAAAGACAATAAAGCGCGCTAAATTGCCGTAAAGAAGCCTGGAGATCCCCCCGCGCTCAGGCCCGAAACAATGCACAGAAGAGATGAGCAGCAGCATCATCGGAGCACTGCATTCATAATTATCACATAACATCTCCTGGAAAAACTTTGCACCGAACGTCGTACCATGGTAGGTATATACGATCTTTGGTGCCATGCGGTTCGCTTTGTTTAGATCATATAGTCACGTGTTCGGAGGTAAAGTTGAGGCGAGCGGACGGATGGGTTCGTTATTCGCGTATTCAGTCTGAGCGAGCAGGTAACGGACGGCCATGCGAGCGGACTGCGAACCTCAAGACAGTTAGTTTTTTGGGGTCTGCTCCATAATTTGACTCTCTCAGGGAGCGGACTGCGGACCTCAAGCCTCAAGTCAGTTCGTTTTTTGGGTCTGCTCCACAATTTTATTAATAAAACTGAGCGGGCGGGCGAACGGACGAACTCTAGCAGACGAGATACTCGACGCGAGGTTAGGCCCATCTTCTATTGTTAATTTTAACTCAACTGCCGTCAGGCACTCCGTTGATAAAATGAGAAGGCAGCACGACGTAACCCATCACTTGGCGCGCACCTCTCGCCCCGATCACACGCATTTTTGTGGTACTTGTTTCTTCTGGAACGGATTACCTTTACCTTCAACAGACGGGTGATGTAGAAACTTATATACTTACATTGCTCATTTCGTTTTTACAGATAATCTCAACATTTTTTACTACGCACTGTGTTTTTATTGGTGAAGACTTTGGAGGACATTCTGGGCTGAAATTTGGATCTTTACCTTCATCTGCGCACATGAGTTTGTTTGAGTTAGATTCATAATAGATCTTGTCTGCTTTACAAGTGAAACTGTGTATTTGTCTTCTTGGCAATATTGTTCAGCCTTCTGGGCAAAATCGGTTTCTGGCCTTCTTGGCTCAGTCGATGAGTTATTATTAGCCTTCTGTGCAAAATTGATCATAGCCTTCTGGGCGAAATATTTTTAAAATCTTTCTCCTGGGCATCTCTGTTCATAACTTTCTAAGTTCCGTTATCTATTCACCTTCTTGGTAAAATTGTTGGTCAGCCTTCTGGGCAATCAAATACCGCATCTGTACTGGATCCTTGGCAATCTTGATTTAGGCTTTCTAAGTTTCAGGTCCAAATTATGGACGAAGATCAGATATCCATTCAAGAAGAAGGGAAGATAAATAAGACAGAAAACGTAAATGAAGACATGACAACAGAGAGAGATGCGATGAAAGATTTGATCAAACAAAATAGTAACATTATGGCAAGCGTAATGCAGCTCATTGCATCACAGAATAGGAAAAGAAAACGCTCTGCTTCCTCCTCATCGTCATCATCATGATCATCCTCACCCCGTGCTACATCAAAAACGAAAAGAGCGCAAAACAAGTCCAGTGAATTAAAGAAAGGGAAAGCAGTGATGCATACAAGTAGGGCACTCGGTCAGGAGGACCTTGGCCAAGACTGGTCGGGGGATGAGAATTTTAGATGCTATCGGCGAAATGGCATCCGGCTATAACTCAGACCCCTCACAAGAAGGAGCGGCCCACACTGGGAAACATGATACCAGTGGGGCGGAGACTGAGGTGTCGGATGAAATGTACTCAGACAAAGATGACTGGTACCAAGAGGCCACGGAGGAATACGAAATTGATGAAGAGGTGGACGAACCACTTGAGGAAAATTTGGTCCGATTCATTGAGAAGACAATGCCAGAGCCTATGAAAGAGGAAAAACTGAAAGACAACATTCAAAGGTACAAAAGACCAAGAAACTGTCTGGCACTCACAGTCAGGCGAACAAACAAACCGATATGCAATCTTTTGAATAATTTTCAAAGGAAAAGAGATATGAAACTAGTTTCTCAACAAAAGAACATCGCAAAGGCAGTAACAGCAATTGCTAAATTGGCTGAAATAGTAACACTGATGGTCAAGTCAACAAATAATGAGAACAACATGCAAAATGCAAAACAAGCTGTCAAGGCCCTCACCGACGCCATGTTGATCCTGGGACATACCCAACAAAAGATTACATGGCAGAGAAAAGAAAGTAAAAAACCGGCGATTCCATTTGAGTCGCAGGGTATCTATGCAATGGTTTCTGATGGCAACGACTTGCTGTTCGGAGAAGAGGTGGAAAAGAAGATGAAAGAGGCGCGAGAACAAAAGAGACAGACGTCATCATTTCACGCAAGCCAGGGGAAAAGGCGAGGCCATTTTTTAGGCCGAGAGAACCACTGCGCGGCCCCGTGGTGGAGAGGTCAGAAGAGGACGGGCCAAGCCAACTATGCTCCTCGCGGCCCGTACAAGACGACCAATTGGAGACAGTCAGAAAGGGCATAGTAATGACATGAATAGATGAAAAACAGGTAAGAGTTGAGGATGGAGAAATGAAGCGATTGCTGGAACTTAAGACTTAAAGATTTAAAGCTGGACAAATAAAGCATTGTCTGCCACAATGGCAGCGACTCACATCAGATAAAGCTGTTTTGGCTTTGGTACGAGGTACTGAAATAGATCTCACAGAACAGCAAGAAGTTATGGGCGGAAATAAGCCCAATTCAAGTTTTTCTATGAGCAGGGAAGAAAGGATGATGATAGACAGAGAAATAGAATCTCTCTTAGAAAAAAGGGTAATAGTTAAATCGAGTCATGAAGATGGAGAATTCATTTCTGGCATTTTTAATAATAATAATAAATGACATTTATATAGCGCTCAACCCCGAATAAAGTACACAGGCTCTGAGCGTTTTACAATACAGTACAACATACAACAGTAACATGAAACGTTGTGTTCTGACTAAAGAAAATTATTCCAAATATTCATCTTATTAATTTAAAAACAGAAACGACTTCAGCTGAAATTTGAATGAATCAAAAGATTTGATTTCTCTCAACGTACACTTGGTAAAGCATTCCAGATCTTGGGGCCTTGGTATTCAAATGCCCTTTCACCCATTGTTTTAAGTTTCATAGATGGTAAAATAAATTTCTTTTTATCAGCTGAGGACCTTAAACTGCGAGTTGGAATGTACAGTCTTAACAGATTTGATAAATATGATGGTGCATTATCATTCAACATTTGTGACAGATGGTGGCTAACTTGTACACAATCCTTTTCTCAACAGGAAGCCAATGCAAAGTTCGTAAAAGAGGTTTTGCAGAGTCTCGCTTTCTTTTCTGTAAAGCTAAACGTGCTGCATTGTTTTGGACAGTTTGAAGTCTTTTAACTTTCTCCAGTGATATTCCTGATAACAAGGAGTTACAATAATCGAGTTTTGATAAAAATTAAGCTAGTTACTAGTAAAGCAGTATACTCCTTGGTATTGACCAGATGACGTATTTTACTAATTTTTCTTATTTCTAAATACATGCAGCTGATCAGCCGACATTGACAAACTAGAATCAAAATAGATGCCAAGATTCTTAACTTTTCTTGAAAATAAAATTTTTGCATCACCAATTTTGTAATGTGATCATAGTCAACCTCTTTAACAGACTTTGCATTGCCTGCCAGAATGACTTCTGTTTTATTATCATTTAACATCAATTTATTTTTGTTCATCCAGCTTTTCACTAAGGCAATACAATTTTCAGCACAAATGCACAAGTTCATTTAAGTTGGTAAACAATGTTGAACCATGAATTTGGGTATCATCAGCATAGAAATGGTATTTTAAGTCATATTTAACTATTTCCTTGACAAATGGTTGAGTATAAATGGTGAACAAAACTGGACCGAACAATCACAAATATCTTGAGTTTTATTCAAGATAAATGGATATTTATTTAGTTAGAAGCAAGGCAAATAAATCAGCTTTCAAATGGCACCGATAACTCCACATGCCCAAAAACTGACCAGCGCCTGATTCCACCAGGTCCTAACACTTATGGTTCCTACAAAAAGCATCAATTTTTTTCAAAACCTAATAATTTGCTATGAATATAAATCGAAATTCAAGTAAAACAGATAAAAATGAACCAAGAAAGTCCTATGAAACAATGCACCAGAGCATAAGACGTCAGTGAAAGTAAAATAATACCCTAGACTGAATACCATCAGTTCTGTTGTCACACTCCTGTGAGTGAGTGGCTATAATAACTTTGTGTCATAAGTTAAGTTGGATCAACAAGCCACGCGGCTGTTTTTATCTTCAAAGGTATTGTTTGAATCAGTCAGTCAAAGTGAATCTTGGTTAATGATATTTGTCACGATGCTGTGGAATCAGGCACTTGTCAATTTTTGGACATGTGGAGTTATTGGTATCTTCCATACCTTGAGAGTCTTCAGAAACTGAACAAATATTTTTTATACCTTTAAGCATTGTATTTTCAGTAAAATACACACTGAAATACGCTTTAAAATATGGATCTCATTATTTTGACGAGCGCCTGATTTCATGATGATGCCTCACATATTTATCTCATCTGCAGTGTGAATCTGTTTTCATCTTCTCAGTCTTCCTGTTCTTGTATTTCCATTTGATGTCCAGCAGTTCTAGGTGCAGCCAAGTTTTTGTTTTTAAATCTTTGGAATTTAGATCTAGATTCATTCAAACATGAATTATGTTCCTAAACTGCTTTCGGTGTGGCGTCGGTGGCCTAGTGGTTAGGCTCTCGGACTCGCAACCGTAAGGTCGTGGGTTCGAATCCCGTCAGGGGCCCAACGTTGTGTCCTTGGGAAAGGCACTTTACACGAATTTTCCTCACTTCACCCAGGTGGGAATGGGTACCCGCTATAGACAGCGAAAGATCTTGTCAGTTTGTTAGTGTTTGAGCGCTTAATCGGCTGCTCGCACTGTATGCTTCCCGGGAAGCTGAGAATGTTTCGGAGTGTTCTATGGTCTGCTGGGGTAATAATATAGTGTAAAGCGCATAGAGCCTGCTGTTGAGCGGGAATATGCGCTATACAAATGCTATCTATTATTATTATTATTATTAACTGTGTGGAAAATGAGTAGGGAACGTTCTAGAAGTAGAAATAACGTACAATGTCATTCTCCCATTTTAACTAAGTCAGTGTAACTCAAAATTAGACAACCAGTGTGTTAGGTGGGAGCACAGCACATGCTGTGTTTGCTGCTTGGGGACCAGCTTTGCAGGCACTGCATTTTCCATGTTTAATGCCCAAAAAGTTAACTTTAGCAGTGCTGCCCATCATTGTGCATTTGGCGGAATCGTTTTGATTTTTATTCAGTTTTACAGAAATACTATCATAAAACCCTTGATTCCAATTTTTTAAAATATTTTGGCTACCCCTACCCACTGCCAACCTTTCCAGTGTCATGGGAGAAAAACTGCCAGACCGGGACAGTCTACGTCACCATGTCATGTGCAGCTGTCTTACTTTAACACCTTCTTTGTATTGAGCTTTTGTAGTCTCTCAATGTGACTTTGCCCTTAGAAAAACATTAGACCTCAGAAGTGCCAAAGCCAGGAGTGATGGCAAACATTAGGGTGAGACGGTGTTAAAAAATTCCTGTCCTTTTTTTGTGTGTGTTGTAAGTACAGCATAAGCAAATGAGAGAATTTTTTTTAAATGTATCATTGTTTGAAACTTGATACAATTAGCTACAGTGGGTGCATGGCATGGTGTGTTGTGATGCGCAATCAAGATCAAAATCAAAGGCTTGTGATGTATTCTGTAGTTTCAAAGGTTTTCTTCATGTATGCAAGCAGCTGTTCTCCTTTCACCACTTTTTTTTCCTTTACTCGGCAACGATGTCTAGACTTCTTATTTTCGTTAATTGTTATTTCGATTTTACGAAACTGCAACCATAACACCCCTAATTCTGCCTTTTGAAAATTCATTTGCTATTCTGCCATCCCAAGCTATCCTCACCCTCCTAGAGTAGATGAAAGAAAACCAATCGGAGCCCAACAGTCTGTGTCACAACATAACGTGCAGCTACCCCTAAGGACAAAAAAATATTATTACATGAAATCTCATTCTACTAAACAGAAGCATTTTTAAAACATATGGCACTTTAAGTATTCAAAAGTATCAAGGTTTGAATGGGATATCTTCCTGACAGCTTAGACTACTCACAAGTGAAAAATTGCTGTGTGAAAATTCTCTGTGATACGAAGTGAATCTTTTAAAATGAAAGCAAAGCCTCATTCTAAGTCCACACAACAACCTTTGATGCCAAGAAATGTACACACACTAGGTAGTAAGTTATATTCTTATTTCTGTGACAGGGAATTTCATGTTTTCAAGTGCTTACGTTTACTCTTACTACTTGTCATTTTTATGCATCTTCTCTAAAAACCTGAGTAACCTTTCTAGAAATTAATTTTCGAAAATTGATTACCCTCAGCAGTATGATTTTCTCCTTTAACAGTGCATTTTGCTTTTTTACTAAAAGTGTGCTGCTTCATTTTCATAATAAAAGTGAGCTCTTTTGAGGTGTTTCTGCAATTCCTCAATGTGCTAGCTATTTCATGTTAAATGTTCTAATAGTATGAGAATGATTTTTTATAATTTGATATTACTTTACATTTTATCAAGGTACTTTGTATTTATTTGAAGGTTCACCCAACAGACTATCTTATGAATTATTGCTTCTCTGCATGCTTATGATTATAATATTAATGGTGTTTACTTCTTTGGAACATAGAGTGTTGTTCAATAAAGTTCTTAAATGCTTTTAACAGCTTTGTCAGTATATGTATTTTCAATATGTTTCTTATATTTACTGTGTTAGTATCATTTTAACTGAAGCTTTTATCTTATTTCAGTTTTACTTTCACCTCACATATTTTGCTAAATGAATTGTATGGATTCTTCATCACAGATGTGGAAAAGTGGAGCTACGAAACCCAAACATTGCCAACATGGAGGAAGATGTACTGTATCACATATCACTTAGTAATAGAACTCAAGATCTGAAGGAAATGTTTAGTGATGTAAAGGTGAGGCTTGAAATAGTGCTGACTCAAATTTCATTTTAAATTTTATTTCAAAACATTCCATATTGAAACATGGAAATTAGAGTCCATTGTTTTTTAAGTAATTTCCCCTCCAGTTGTGTTCACTTCCCTTTGTAATAATGGTGTAACCAATTAAATCATCTTTTAGCAATACCAGCCTATCAAAGAATTCTTTGTCTGGTGCAATGACAGAGTTGAAAAAAAATCTTCTCTGAGAGCTTTTTAAAGGGTAACAATTATCAGTTAACAACTTTCCTGTATATGATGTCATGTTAATATATATATATATATATATATATATATATATATATATATATATATATATATATATATATATATAATATATATGAAGGATGCCAATGGGTTGCTCATGACAATTGTTCATAACTCGAAATATTATAATAGGCCTAATGAAATTCCCTTTCTTTGTTTAGTGCTTGACACGGGGTTTCTGTTACACTTGAAACCTGCAAAACACTTATCTCGTTCCCAAAATCTCTCTCTCTCTCTCTCTCTCTCTCTCTCTCTCTCTCTCTCTCTCCCTCTCTCCCTCCCTCCCTCCCTCCCTCCCTCTCCCTCTCCCTCTCCCTCTCCCTCTCTCTCTCTCTCTCTCTCTCTCTCTCTCTCTCTCTCTCTCTCTCAGTTTATATTGAAATTCCTAAAGAAAATTCAAGCGCTTGAAGAGTGAAGCGTTCACTTTCACTATATATCTATACGACAACTAAATTTATCTAGCTCAAATTTCATTTATTCACCTCTATTATCAAATGCAGTGGATTTTTGCTGTTGTCAGTGTGTAAATGTGCAAGATTATCTGTCTGCTATGTCAGATAGTAATGACATAGTGTTGGTGATAGTCGGGCTTTTAACTGAAAGGTCATGGTTTGAACCCCGACAGGGGCGCGGCGTTATGTCCTTGGAGAAGCACCTCTCTTCTCCTAGGTGGGAATGGGCACCCGCCCACAAACTGTGAGAGATCTTGTCAGTTTGTTAATGTTTGAGCTCTTAACTAACTGCTTGCACTGTGTGCTTCCCAGTAAGCCGAGAATGTTTCTGAGTGTCCTAGGGTCTACTGGGATAATAACAGGTGTAAAATTTATAGAGCTTGCTGTAGAGTGTGGATGTATGTGCTTTTTAACCTCGATAATCATTATTATAAGTAGTAAAAGTAGTTATTATTTTTATTATCATTAACATTAATGGTAAGCAGGAAAGACCCAAGGTCCAGAATTGTATTTCTTTGTAACACTCTTTTGCAATGCATGTGATTCTAACCCATGTTGACCACATTCCTGTTTTTATTGCACTGTCTGTGTTCATATGATAAAGTGTCCTGAGCTCAGTTTTTAAGGAAAAGTCCGTAATATTCTTAATACATCATGTTTTATTATTTTTCTCATTATTGTATATGTTGTCATCTAGTACAAGCTTCAAGTGTATTTTCTTAGACAGGGATGATCTATAAGACTTGTGTACAGCAGAATTCTGAAGGCCTGGTAGTACACCCTTCCATAAGGAAGGACAGAAAACAGCTTCTTTGTATATATATATAAGTCATATTGTGTAATTAGCTTGTAAGCAGGGTCTCACATGGCTTTTCATTCAACGGTCCCGGGTTCGCATCCGGGTAACGATAGAAAACTTTTCTTCTCTAAAATTGTCTCCTTTTCCCTCCTTTCCTGCTCTCTAACATTGTTCTGTCATCTGCTTTCATCTCCTCTTTCTGCCCCCATGACCCCCTCACTTCCTTTACCCCCTCCTCTGGGCTCCTGACTTTTTCTGCAGCCTTTCTACTGCTACTCCTTGGCTCGTTCTTACTGCTGTCTTTCAGCCACACCCCTAATCTTCTGGTAGGAAAGATCACACCTCACCTTCTCGGACAAGGGCGAAAAATCTCGGACGGCCCATGTGCAAGTTGCGCATGTTTAAGATGCTTGGTGGTCTAAAATCGATAGAGTAGGTTTCTGCGGCCACCCGGGCAAAATTTAAAATTTCCTACCAACTGAAAAAGTTTAATGTGTTGTGCGTGCTTATATGACCTTATGCAGTTGCGAGCGCCGTAAAACGCTTAGCCTACCAAAAAAAAAATAAAGCTTGTAAACTTTTAATTAGCTTAATAAGGTGCTTGCTCCTCATGATTTTGAATGTGCAAACAATGGCACCTAGATTGGACGAAGCTCTTAAACTTCTCCCAAAAGAACAAATTTGCTAATACGGTTTAATAAGAATGAAGAAAAATGCATTCTGACCACCAGGGCAAAATTGCTATAGTTGATTGCTTTCTGAAATGGAAAAAAATCTGTTGTGTAAACCACCAAGGGTGGTTTTGAAAGAGGTGTATGTTATGGCTGCTTGGAACTCGGGGGACACTATGCTCCAGTTGTAGAACAGATCATGCTTGTTACACCATGGGTTCAATATCACTGCCTTGAGATCTAGTGGTGCAACTCAGAGGAATGAGATCACTAAGTTTACATTAGTGGACTGAGTATGTATTTCATAGAGACAGTTCTTTTTCTTCTTCTGTATGACCCAGCTAGGTGTCTGGGTCAGCAGGTCGTGGATTTTTAATGAAATCCATGATGCATCTTGCCCGCTTTCGTGTTTGAATAGATTGGTTCTCTTGCCTCTTGGACAGTTGTGTGCAGTTTTCAAAGTAGAATATCATCCTCATCACCTGTCTGGACAAGCCAGTTTTTCTTTAGCTTTCATTTCTCAAGAGTTCTTTACCATGCATAGTGTGCAAATGGGATCTCTTTGTTTATCATCCTTTTGAGAGAAGACTAGGTAGGCCTACTTGATCCCACCTACAGTGGCATTAGGGGTGTGTGAAAAACTCGAGGGAAAAAAATTTATTTAGCCCTCATGTCAGATTTAGACTAATATTTTTGCATGAGGAGCATGCACTTTATTATCTAGAAGAACAAGCCATTCAATATAGTCATGAATGATAACGTTATTTGGTAATAATTTTTGCTCCCACTACTCCCGTTTTTGCCCCTTTTGATTAAGTATAGTATTGTATGTCTACGTCTACACCGTAAGTTTGTCAAACTTGCAAAACACTTCATGTAAGCATTGTTCTGCTGTAATATCTTCACAGTTCGTCTGCTTTGGAGGATCTCCAACTCGTATGAAAAAGTTTGCAGAGTTCCTTGTGGAAGAGTTGAAGGTGAAAATTTCTGCAGGTCAAGCTTTGTATAACATTGCTCAAGGCTCAGACAGATATGTGCTGTACAAAATTGGACCAGTGCTCTCAGTTAGTGTAAGTACACCTTCATTATGTGGAGACCTTTGTAATAAACACTATGATTGTTTTCATTAAGATTTCAGGTGTGATTTTTAGTTTTAAGACTTAGTATTTTATTATTTCTCTGCAATTTAATGCCTTTTAAATGATCAAACTCTGCCTCATTTGCCGTGTCTTTGTCTGCAGCATGGAATGGGCATTCCGTCTCTTTCCATCATTTTCCATGAGATTCTCAAGCTAGTCTATCATGCCGGTTGCTATGACGTCATTTTCTTCCGAATTGGCACCAGTGGAGGCTTAGGTAAGTAACAGATATATATATATATATATGTATATGTGAGGCATTGTCGTGAAATCAGGACCTCGTCAAAATAATGGGACCGAAAAAAACTAATATTTTTCCACCCGTTAAGCAAATTTTATCAATTTTTTTCCTTGGGCTCAACACCTTTTATGACCATTTAAAAACATTCTTGTGTGGATTATACTGAAAAATGTTGATCAAAGGCACAAAAGTGTAAATTTGCAGTTTCCAGGGACACTACAGCTTTGGAAGTCACCTATCTTCAGCAGCCATTTTCTGACTTTTTTTTACCGCTGACACCAGGCAACCCCCATCTCCTTTACTTACAATATCTCGACTTCTATTTAACTTTGATGGGTATTTTTTTCACCAAAAGCTAAGCAGATAATCAGTCTTTAAAATTACAGTGGAATCCTGTTATAATGAGAGGGAGGGGACTGGTGCGAAATATCTGTTATAGCAGGATTCTCGTTATAAGGGATCCTGAAATAAATTCAAGGGAAATAATAAGTAGACCTAATCTATGAGTTTGTTGTTTTGAAAATTTATTTTTGCTATTTCCCCTGATGATGATTTTGTTCAACATGACCTCTTGGTCTTGTTTGATCAAAAATCGAATCAGGTTTCTTTTTCTGCGCTTGCGATGTTGACAGCTCGGGCTTGGCGATCAGAAAGAAAGGGCTCTAGGCTAACTCGCCTGCTGTGTTGTCCCCCACCCCACCACACCCTGTGGTGTGTTCTATCTGCTTACGCACATGGGTACACACGGAACCCTGCCCAGGGGGGGCTCTCATGGCCTAGAGGTTAAAATGTTGGCCTCTTATTCAAAGGTCACTGTTCAATCCGGGTAGTGACCGAAAAATGTTCTTCTCTAAAATTGTCTCCTTTTACCTCATTTCCTGCTCTCCAAAAATGTTCTGTCATCTGCTTTCGTCTCCTCTTTCTACCCCCACCCCCTCACCTCCTATGCCCCTTCCTCTGTGCTCCTGACTCTTTCTGCAGCCTTTCTACTGCTACTCCTTGGCTCCTTCTTATTGCTGTCTTTCAGCCACACCCCTGATCTTCTGGTAGGAAAGATCTACACCTAGCCTTCTTGGACAAGGGCGAAAAATCTCGGAGGGCCAGTATGCAAGTTGCACGTGTTAAAGATCCCTTGGTAGTCCAAAATCTATAATATAAGAGTAAGCTTCGACCGCCACCCGGGCAAAATTTAAAAATTTCCAACCAACTGAAAAAGTTTAATGTGTCCCGAGCGCTCATATGACCTTATGCAGTTGCGAGCGTAGTAAAATACTTACAAAAAAAAAAACCCCAAAAAACGACCCTACCCACGTCACACATTCGCTCCATCCATCACAACACTGTGATCTCTCCATCCCCGCATTGGAGAAGAGAGAGTAAGAGGCATGTAGGCCTAGATAATCTAGACTAGGCTAGCCTATCGTGCAATGCGTTCTGCTTGTCTACGCATGCCACACCCTCCCCACTCATTCGCTCCAGCCGTCATTGTTGGCACACATGGGCTCTCCCTTTATTTGTTTCGCTAGATCATCAACAAGTTTCTCAACTGGCAAGGTTTTTCATTTGTATAATTGACCTATGCGCTGTGCTCAGCAGCAGCAGTATTCTGCTATAACCGACTCGTGTGTTTTTCTGGTTGTGCTATAGCAGTATTTCATTTATGGCAGCCGGTATTTTCACGATATGTTGTGGAAATCAAATCTATGCGTTTTTTCAGGACTTGTCATGGAAAAAAAATGCTAGGCACGTTTTTACAACCTGTTTTTTTTTTTTACCAATCAGTAAACAGCTGGGTCATGCCAGAGGGTGTATAATATAATATATAAATGTTTCACAATGTGGTGGAATCCGGCACTCGTCAATTTTTGGCCATGTGAAGTTATTGGTCTTTAATCAAATTTACATGGAGATGTGTTTTTATATAGACTTAAAAAAGATTAAGCCAAAACCTGCTGTACGAATTAATGGAGAATACAATGAATATAAGCAGATTAGGCGAGGAGTGAGGCAAGGATGTGTTATGTCACCAGACCTCTTTAACATGCACAGTGAAACAATCCTTAGAAACATGGAAGAATGTCCAGGTCTTAAAGTAAATGGAGAAAAGATTAATAACATCAGGCATGCAGATGACGCAGTTTTGATAGCAGGCTCAGAAAAAGAGCTTCTCGATACTGTTGTAACAGAAAGTGAACGCAAAGGATTATTGTTGAATGTAAAGAAAACAGAATGCATGGTAATATAAAAAAAAGCAGCAAAGCCTAGTTGAAATCTCATTAGCAAAGGGGAAAGATCAAACTAGTCCAACAGTTTAAATATCTAGGATATATGAGAACATCTGATGCCAAATGTTCCACTGAAATAAGACGGAGAATTACAATGGCTAAGGCTAGTTTACATAAAATTAGCCCAATCCTGAAAAATAGAAACATCTTAATGAACACCAAAAGGAAAGTTCCGAAATGCTATGTTTTGGTCAACCCTTCTATATGGCTGTGAATGCTGGACAATCATTAAAGACAGTGAAAATAAAATAGAAGCAACAGAAATGTGGTTTCTTTGGAGGCTGCTAAGAGTATTGTGGAAGGAAAAGATATAATCGCCGATGTCTGTCGCAAAACTGGCACTCGATGATGATGATGATGAAGTTATTGGTGTCATCTGAAAGCTGATTTATTTGCCTTGCTTCCAATGACATAAATATCCATTTATCTTGAACAGAATTCAAGATATTTGGGATTGAAGGAAGTGAGGTTGCCTGATTTCAGTGGTGAAATTAGCTAGAAAATGGCCTCCAAAGTTTGGTGACTCCAACAGCTAAAGAGTCCTTAAAACTGAAAAATGACATAATTTGTGCCTTTAATCAATGTTTTTCAGTAAAATTCACATGGAGATGTGTTTTTATATAGACTTACGGTTAAGCGAAAAAATAAAAATTTAATGAAGATTTCCAAACTGGTGGAAAAATGCTTGCTTCTTCTATTTCGTTATTTTGACGAGCGCCTGATTTTGCCACGCTGCCTCACAAATAGACTCTCTGCCCTTTTGGCTTCTCTCTCTCTCTCTTTCTCTCTCTCTCTCTCTCTCTCTCTCTCTCTCTCTCTCTCTCTCTCTCTCT